CTGGGACTACAGGTGCATGCTGCCACGCCTGGCTAATTTTTTGTATCTTTAGTAGAGATGGGGTTTCACCATGTTAGCCAGGATGGTCTCAATCTCCTGACCTTGTGATCCACCTGCCTCAGCCTCCCAAAGTGCTGGGATTACAGGTATGAGCCACAGTGCCTGGCCCCTAAATTTTTAAAAAGCAGATAGAGGAATAGAGCTGATAAACATTGTCTTTTTAAAGAAACTTAATGGACTGGGCGCAGTGGTTCACCCCTATAATCCCAGCACTGTGGAAGGCCAAGGTAGTGGATTGCTTGAGGTCGGGAGTTTGAGACCAGCCTGGGCAATGTGGTGAAACCCCGTCTCTACTAAAACCACAAAAATTAGCCAGGCGTGATGGTGAGCGCCTGTAATCCCAGCTACTTGGAAGGCTGAGGCATGAGAATCGCTTGAGCCTGGGGAGGCAGAGGCTGCAGTGAGCCAAGATCACGCCACTGCTTTCCAGCCTGGGTGACAGAGTGAGACTGTCTTTAAAAAAAAAAAAAAAAAAAAAAAAAAAAGCTGGGCATGGTGGTTTGTGCCTGTAATCCCAGCTACCCAGGAGGCTGAGGTTGGAGAGCACTTGAGCCCAGGAGGCAGAAGTTGCAGTGAGTGAGACCATGTCACTGCACTCCAGTCTGGGTGACAGAGGGAGACCCTGTCTCAAAAATAAATAAAAAAGTTGGGAACCTTACTGGGCCTTTCTGTGTTAAAACAACAACAACAACAACAACAACAACAACAACAAAAATAACCTTAAAAAATACTTTGTTTAAATTATTTACAGCCAATTTCTGTTGAACACCCATTGTTTGCTGGGCTCTGGGGTAAATGCTTTGACGTGCATTATTTTAATCCTTTCAATGATCTTTTCAATGTAGCAGGTTTTATTGTTTTGAGGAAATTAAAGGAGTTAACACCAGAATTCATTCTATACCATGGTACATTTGGCTGCAGCTATTTTTCTGCAGTCCACTTTGGAAAGATAAATTGCATAATTTTGAGCCTAGACAGAATTCCTGTCCTGAAGTGCTGTATTTTCTCAGTGCATTGGAGTGCCAGAAACCCCTTCACCTATGTAATCCCAGCACTTTGGGAGGCCGAGGCGGGCGGATCACAAGGTCAGGAGATCGAGACCACAGTGAAACCCCGTCTCTACTAAAAATACAAAAAAATTAGCCGGGCGCGGTGGCGGGCGCCTGTAGTCCCAGCTACTCAGGAGGCTGAGGCAGGAGAATGGCGGGAACCCGGGAGGCGGAGCTTGCAGTGAGCCGAGATCGTGCCACTGCACTCCAGCCTGGGCAACAGCGTGAGACTCCGTCTCAAAAAAAAAAAAAAATAAAAATAAATAAAATCCTGGTTACCCATTAGTCAGTCATTGTGATAATATCTTGTGAAAGCAGCTTCTTCAGTAGAAGGTACAGAAGAGCTTATCTGGTAAATCCTGTTTCCTGCACCAGAGTAGTAGGGGGATCAGAGTCTCTTTATTCTTGATGAGCTTTGTCATCAGTTTCGATGGAAGAAGGATCCTGCTGTAATTAAACTGCAGGTCCATTTATTCTGTTTTCGGCGTTGTTAGAAGACTTTACTCTGAACTGCTTTGTTTCCTGATTGACTCGCCCTTTGGGGCAGAATGCCTGGATTGAAATGAAAGTGTAGGTTTCTCTGCTGCAGTGTTCAATCTGTCATCTCTCCTAAACTCCACACTAAGAAGCAGCCATTTAATTGGTCAGACCCCGGGGGTGATATTTTGGCACAGCTCCGTTGGTTAGAATTACTTTTCCCTGAACTTCATAGCAGATGCTGAGGTCCCTCTGCAGATATTTGTCATAGAATAGTTGAAACCAGGGAGTTTCTGAGAACATTTATAACTTGTGATTATTATGTATGTTTTTCAGTTGTTAACAGTTACCGCTTAAGAAAAAGAGCTCACTTATTGCTATTAGGAAGTGAAATCTCTCTCCTTTCCCCCTTATTCATATTATTATTTTAACAGTTTATGTTCCAAGACCCTCTGCTCTCTCGTTTCCTGTTATCATTTTGTTATGTTTCTCCTTCTACCTTGCTTGGGCTATGTAAGTCAGGAACAGCAGGCAAAGGTACACCCAGACCTGGGTGTGTCTGGTAGAGGTCGGTTTCTTTGATTTCTAGCGTGTCTTTATTTTACGTCTGCATTTGTTGTTTTCATGTTTATTTGTATTTACAGTTCGCATTGCAGCACCATTCCAATCCAAAACAACAGTCAAGGCATTGAAGCCTTCTGTGTCTTTTTAGTAAGAGATGGAAGTGACAGTCTTATTCCTCTTCCAGGCTCTCCTTTTCTGGTTTTGTCCTTCTATAATAACAATTTAAACCATTTTTATTTTCTTTTGTTTTTCAAGTAATCTCAGCAGACAAATAATTCTCTTCGGTCTTTCCTTCAAGGTATTGCTGTGGTTATATGTGTTTAAAATCCTTAATTTACTGATCATCCTGGAATCATAATTGTGCAGTTTCTGGCTTTTTTTTTTTTTTTTTTTTGAGACAGAGTCTCACTCTGTCACCCAGGGTGGAGTGCCGTGGTACAATATTGGCTCACCGCAACCTCGACCTCGCGGGTTCAAGCGATACTCCTGCTTCAGCCTCCCGAGTAGCTGGGACTACAGGCGTGCACCACCACATCCAGCTAATTTTTTGTATTTGTAGTAGAGATGGGGTTTCGCCATGTTGGCCAGGCTGGTCTCAAACTCCTGACCTCAGGTGATCCGCTGGCCTCAGCCTCCCAAAGTGCATTACAGGCGTTTACAGGCTCAGCGATTACAGGCGTGAGCCACCATGCCTTGCCAATTGTGCGATTTTAAGCATGAATTTCTGTCCTTTTTTTTTAAAAAAGCACTCTATTGCTGTTATTATTAGTTAATAATTCAACAAGTATGTGTTGATTACCTGGCATTAAGGCTGAGAATAAAGCTGTGAAATAGACTCACTCTTGTTTCCTGTTTCACTTTCCACACCCTAAATATAGAAGAAAAATAGTTTAAAAAGAATTATCCAGGCTGGGCATGGTGGCTTATGCCTGTAATCCTAGGACTTTGGGAGGCTGAGGCGGGCAGATCACTTGAGGTCAGGAGTTCAAGACCAGCTTGGCCAACATAGTAAAACCCCATCTCTACTAAAAATACAAAAAATTAGCCAGGCATGGTGGCACGTGCCTATAATCCCAGCTACTCAGGAGGCTGAAGCATGAGAATTGCTTGAACTTGGGAGGTGGAGGTTGCAGTGAGCTGAGATCGTGCTACTGTACTTCAACCTGGGCGACAGAGCGAGACTCTGTCTCAAAAAAAGAAAAAAAAAAAGAATTAAACAAATTGTTAGCCAGTTGATTAGATACAGTGCTGCTAGAATGCTCTTTCCCCCAGAATGTAATCATCATGAGATTCAAGGACCTTGCCTGTTGTTCCTCTTACGTTCCCCAGAGGTACTGGAGATTCATGCTAAATAGTCTGATAAATCAATTCTGGTTATAAGGAAGTGTATAAGATTCTATGAAGCAAGGCATGGTGGCTCACACCTATAATTCCAATCCTTTGGGAGGCTGAGGTGGGAGGATCACCTGAGCCTGGGAGATTGAGGCTGCAGTGAGCTGTGATCGCACCACTATGTCACCAGCCTGGGTGACAGAGTGAGACCTGTCTCAAAAAAAAAAAAAAAAAAAAAAGATGTTATGAGAGCACAGACAGGATCAGGAAAGGTTTCCCTGAGGAAATAAATGATGTAAATAAATGATAGGTAAGGGAGGTGAGGTGGCAAGAGTGCTCCACGCTGAGAGAATAGCTGAATAGCTGAATAGCTTGAGGGAGAGAGATTCCTAAAGCCAAAATAACCTTGGCGTTGGAAGAACTGAAAGAATAGGGTAGAGTAAGGAGTAAGGCCCTGAGCACTAAGGATTTGCTTTCATTATTATTTACTAGTTACCCAGTGACAATACTTATTTTATTTTTTTTTTGAGATGGAGTCTCACTCTGTCTCTCAGGCTGGAGTGCAGTGGTGCGATCTCGGGTCACTGCAACCTCCGCCTCCCAGGTTCAAGCAATTCTCCTGCCTCAGCCCCGCACCCATCACCGTGCCTGGCTAATTTTTGTCTTTTTAGTGGTGACGAGGTTTCACTGGGATTAAAGGCATGAGCCACCACACCCGGCTGACAACACTTATTAAAAGGAAGGTAGGCCAGGTGCACTGGCTCATTGCCTGTAATCCCAGCACTTTGGGAGGCCCAGGTAGGAGGATTGCTTGAGGCTAGGAGTTCAAAGACCAGTCTGGGTAACATAGTGAGATCCTGTCTCTACCAAAAAAAAAAAAAAAAAAAATTAGCTGGGCAAGGTGGTGGGCACTTATAGTCCTAGCTACTCAGGATGCTGAGGTGGGACGATCGCTCAATGCTGGTTTGCTATGATGGTGCCACTGCACTCCAGGCTGGGTGACAGAGACTTGTCTCAATAAATGAATGACTGAAATAGAGCATTAGTTGCAGTTGAGACAAGTCAGAAACCCCTCCTCAACTGGAGCAAAGGTGAGTAAGAAGAGAAACTGAAATACACCTTAAATATCAAAGGCTTTATCTTTAGAAAGTTGGGGGTCTATATCACTGGTACCCTGAACTTGTAGAAACTAGAAATGCAGATGATTTATGGGATGTATAAATTAAAGTTCTATAGTCCCAGGAATGGCTTTTCTATGTATTATACTTTGTACAAGGTGCTTAAGGTACTTTTGAATCCTGCAAAAATCAGACCATTTTAATTCTGAGTTTTGTAGGATTATTGTGTTAAATAAGACAACAGATGCAAACATAACAACTAACTTGGCACATTTTAGGTGTCTTGTAATGTTTATACTTTGTTATCTTCTGAGAAAGGACTTCAGGAACCCCAAGTTCTGAATAACTCCCCCAATTTTCCCCTTGTCTGCCATCTGAAATAATAGCACAGAAGATTATGTCATGTCTAAAGCTTCAATCCTTTATTAAAGTATGACTTGGGGACTGAAGGAAAGAGGAGACTCCAGTGCTTGTTGTCTTTGATGTTACTGACATCTCAGTGTGAATGGAGGCTCTGGAAGCTGGTTTGGAGAGAGGCAAAGGCAAACATTTAATCCTCATGAACCCGTGCCTTATTATAATGATGGCTATTTACTGAATGTCTATTACTGCCCTCTGCTCTTGATGTAAGATTGAAAAGTCCAGTGAAGTTATGATCCCCCTTTATACTGAGCATCACCTCTATGTCCAGCCTGTGAGGTGTAGGAAATTTGTTCCTGTTACTCTGAAGCTCATAGTGGCAACTTACTCAAGCTCATTCATTTATTCAATGTTAGAGCCAGGATTTAAGGTTGGTCTGACTGATTTTAAAGCCAGAGTAAAACATATTTGGGAACAGCCTTTTCCCCCCCACCTTTCTCTCCAACTGTTCTGTCTTCTTAAACTTTAGCCCTAAAATAAAATTCTTACCTAGGAAATATGCATGTATCCATTACCCATATCCAAAGGACTGCCTTGGAGGATAGAAAATGTCTATTAGTATTTAAAGCTCTGGAAGTGTTTTCCTCCCCTGAGTTCTGGCCTGTGAAATATTCCTTGTTTATGTCCAGCCCATGTACCATTTCAGCAGGGCTGTTTTTCCTAATTCAGACCTTGGGTTCTAAAGTTCTACCATATACATGTCTTCTCTGTGACTTAGGTATTCTGAATTCTTTTTTCTTTTCTTTTTTTTTCTTTTGAGATGGAGTCTCGTCGTGTCACCAGGCTGGAGTACAGTGATGTGATCTTGGCTCACTGCAACCTCTGCCTCCTGGGTTCAAGCAGTTATCCTGCCTTAGCCTCCTGAGTAGCTGGGACTATGGGTGCACACCACTACACCCAGCTAATTTTTTGTATTTTTAATAGAGATGGGGTTTCACCATGTTGGTCAGACTGGTCTCGAACTCCTGGTCTCAGGTGATCCGCCCACCTTGGCCTCCCAAAGTGCTGGGATTACAGGTGTGAGCCACTGCACCTGTCCACTGAATTATTTATTTTAAAATAAATATCTCAGAAATAATCTCACTATCACAGAGAACATGCTTCATTGTCCTACCCCCAGCACATGAGACCAGTTAGTAGTATGGTTTACTCAGCAGGCTGCTTACTTACAAATGCAACAGTTGCCCTATTTTATGCTCATTGTGTTGTCACCAGCATTTTAAATCTTTACAAGTCAAGCTGGATACCTCAGGCAGGTTTACTGCAAAATTCCAGTAAACAGTTTCAAAGGATTTCAAGTTGCTTGCCAGACTAATTTATTTTAAAAGTAAGCAGCCTTCCAAGCTAAGAGATGATTTTAAATTTCAGGTGAGTTCTCAGGACATTGTGATTTTTAAAATTATGTTGTTGGTATACATCAGCTGTGTCAGGGCCTGTCCCACCAAGGGCCTTGGATGGTAAGAAACCCAAGCTTTGGGTGACCAGAGAGAGGAGAGAGACCTTGGGCTTTCCAGCCAGCAGGGCCTATGAAACATGTAGGTCATTGGCATTTTATTTTATTTATTTTTTTGAGAGGGAGTATCGCTCTTTTGCCCAGGCTGGAGTGCAGTGGCGCGATCTTGGCTCACTGCAACCTCTGCCTCGCGGGTTCAAGCGATACTTCTCCCTCAGCCTCCCGAGTAGCTGGGACCACAGGTGCTGGCCACCACACCACTAATTTTTGTGTTTTTAGTAGAGACGGGGTTTCACCATGTTGTCTAGGCTGGTCTTGAACTCCTGACCTCACGTGATCCGCCTGCCTTGGCTTCCCAGAGTGCTGGGATTGTAGGAGTGAGCCACCATCCCCAGCCATCATTTTAGAATTATACTTTTTAGCTGGGTGCAGTAAAAGAGAATCCTTTCTCAGCCTTCAGGTCTCATCTCAGGTATCAGGTAGTGACCTTTCGGTTCTTCACACACCAGCCCACTATGGCTTGAAGTTAGCAAGTGAGAAAAGTAGCACGGTATGAATTGGAGAAGTGGTCAGGGTCTTTAACCATGTAAGAAGTGATTATTTTTATTCTAAAATGCAATAAGAGTCCATGAAAGAACTTTTTTTTTTGAAGAGTTTTTAAACATTTTTATGTACAAAGAGTTAACATGGTTTCTTTCAGTGGGTAGATGCCTTGGATAATCCATCCAAGGAAGATCACTTCTAGGGACAAGCAACGTTAAAGAGCTTTAAGTGTGTGTTTTGAGGGGAGGAGGGGAGTGGGTGATGCCTTGTGGAGAAATAGTTGGATAGAGGCAAGAATTAAAGCTAGGAAACCTGTTAAGAGGCTGTTCTTTTACCCAAGAAGCCATTCTAGACTCTGGAAATTCAGTGGAGCACAAAGTCCCTGCCGTCATGGGATTTCTATTCCAGTTAGGTAAAGCAGTTAATAAGTAAGCAAATAATGTCAGCTAATACCAAATGTTATGGTGAAATTAGAAAATGACATTAAAAGGCTGGGTCTGGTAGCTTACGCCTGTAATCCCAGAGCTTTGGGAGGCTGAGGCAGGAGGATCCTTAAGAGTCCAGGAGTTCGAGCTTACAGTGAGCTGTGATCAAACCACTGCACTCCAGTGTGGAAAGAGACCCTATCTCTCACCAAAAAAAAAAAAAAAAAAAGAAAAAAGAAAAAAGAAAATTACATTAAAGCTGACGTTTGGATGACAAGAAGGAGCTAAACATAGGAAGTTCTAGGGAGACCAATCCAGGCAGAAGGAACAAACAACAAATCTAAAAGGCCTAAGGAGGGAAATGTGATTAATATATGAAAGACGATGATTTAGCCCATCAGCAGGGGCAGGGAAGATGAAGGTAGGAATTTGTGAATCTTTGATTTAAGAAAAGTGTTTTTAATTTTTTTTTTTTGCTTTTGTTTTTGAGAGAGAGTCTTGCTCTGTCACCCAGGCTGGAGTGCAGTGGCATGATCTCAGCTCACTGCAACCTCTGCATTCCAGGTTCAAGTGATTCTCCTATCTCAGCCTCCCAAGTAGCTGGGACTACAGGTGCCTGTCACCATGCCTGGCAAATTTTTTGTATTTTTAGTAGAGATGGGGTTTCACCATGTTGGCTAGGCTGGTCTTGAATTCCTGACCTCAAGTGATCCACCCGCCTTGGCCTCCCAAAGTGCTGGGATTACAGGCCTGAGCCACTGCGCCCCGCCAAGAAAGGTATTTAAAGCAACCTGAGGTATGGGTGGAGAGGGAGGCCCAAGACAGCCTGGACACTCACAACATTTAAGAACAAAGGGAGGGTTAAGAAGCAGCAAAAAGACTTTGAGGTAGGAGGAAAGCCACGGGTGCAGAGTGCTGGAAGCTAAGAGATGTTTAAAGGGGGAGAGTCGCTTGTGTCCAGCATTGCTGAAAGATTAAGATGAGGATAGAGAAGTGTCAATTAGATCTGGCCACTTGGAATTCCTTGGTGATCTTGAAGAGATTAGGAATAGTGGTTGGCTCAAGATAGATTGGAGAAAGTTTAAGAGTGAATTAGAGGTTAAGAAAGTGGAGTCGGCCGGGCGTGGTGGCTCACACCTATAATCCCAGCACTTTGGGAGGCCGAGGTGGGCGGATCACCTGAGGTCGAGAGTTTGAGACCAGTCTGACCAACATGGAGAAACCCCCTCTCTACTAAAAATGCAAAATTAGCCGGGCATGGTGGTGTATGCCTGTAATCCCAGCGACTCGGGAGGCTGAGGCAGGAGAATTGCTTGAACCCGGGAGGCAGAAGTTTCGGTGAGCCGAGATCATGCCATTGCACTCCAGCCTGGGCAACAAGAGTGAAACTCCGTCTCAAAAAAAAAAAAAAAAAAAAAAGTGGAGTCAAATATTTGGAGGAATTTGATTTTAGAGGAGATCACAGAAAAAGAGCTTTACTGGGGAGGGAGAGAATGCGTGGTCAAAATGGTTTTTTTTAAATTTTTTGGGTTTTTTTTTTACAAATTACAAATATTTGACTAGGTGCTTTAAAAAAATCTGTCATTGGCTGGGCGCGGTGGCTCGCGCCTGTAATTCCAGCACTTTGGGAGGCCAAAGTGGGTGGATCACGAGGTCAGGAGATCGAGACCATCCTGCCCAACATGGTGAAACCCCATCTCTACTAAAAATACAAAAATTAGCTGGGCGTGGTGGTGCGTGCCTGTAATCCCAGCTACTCAGGAGGCTAAGGCACGAGAACTGCTTGAACCCAGCAGGCGGAGTTTGCAGTGAGCCAAGATCACGCCACTGCACTCCAGCCTGGTGATGGAGCGAGACTGCGTCTCAAAAAAAGAAAAAAAAAAAGAAAAAATCTGTCATATAGACCAGGTGCAGGGGCCGACGCCTGTAATCCTAGCACTTTGGGAGGCTGAGGTGGGTGAATTGCTTGAGCCCAGGAGTTCGAGATCAGCCTGGGCAGCTTGATGAAACCCTGTCTCGACAAAAAAATACAAAAAATTAGGTGTGGTGGTGCGAACGCCTGTAGTCCCAGTGACTCGGCATGCTGTGGCAGGAGGATCAGGTAAGCCTGGGAGGTCCAGGCTACAGTGAGCCATGGTCGCATCACTGTAGTCCAGCCTGAGCAACAGAGTGAGAGACCCTGTCTCAAAAAAACAAAAAAAAAACAAAAACATAAAAACTTTTAATTCAAGTGTAACTAGAGAAGCATACAAATTATAAGTATACAGTTCGATGAATTTTTACAAAGCCAACATATCTACATAATCAGCATTCAGATTAGGAAACAGAATGTTATCAGAAGCCCCTTGGGCTGCCTTCCATCTATAATCCTGCCTCACAGGATGACCACTATCCTGATTTTGAACACCATAGTTTGCCTGTTTTTGAATTTTATGTAAAACAAATCATTTCCCATGTATTCATTTGTGCCTGCTTCTTTTGTTCAACTTAAGATTCGTCTGTACTATTGCATGTATCAGTTGTTTGTTTTTTCTCATTGCTCTGTAAACATATCATAATTCTACTGTTGATGGACACTTCAGTTGTTTTCAGCTTGAGGCTATTACAGTAGGGCTTCCATGGATATTCCTGTAAACTGTTTCGGTGAATATAAATTTCTCTTGGGTATATGCCTAGATGTAGAATTGCAAAGCCGTGGAAAGAGATGTGTGTGTGCATGTACACACACACACACACACACACACACACAATTTCCAAATTGGTTGCAGTGATTTACACTTCCACCACCAATATTAGAGTTCCAGTTGCTCTTTTTCCTTTTTTTTTTTTTTGAGACAGAGTTTCGCTCTGTCATCTAGGCAGGAGTGCGATGGTACGATCTGGGCTCACTGCAACCTCTGCCTCCCAAGTTCAAGTGATTGTCCTGCCTCAGCTTCCTGAATAGCTGGGATTACAGGCGTGTGCCACCACGCCTGGCTAAGTTTTTGTATTTTTAGTAGAGACGGGGTTTCACCATGTTGTCCAGGCTGGTCTCGAACTCCCGACCTTAGGTGATCTGCCTGCCTGGGATTACAGGTGTGAGCCACCGCGCCCGGCTGCTCCAGTTGCTCTTTACAACATTTGCTAGTATCTCTTTTCCATTTTAGCTATTCCAGTGGTGGTAACACTTGGTGGTCGTAATTTGTACTTCCATTATGACAAGAGTTTTTAACATCTGGGAGATTCTGGAGCATACCTGTATGATGATAGGAAAGTTCCTGTAGAGATGGAAAGCAAAAGCCAGAGGGGATGGGCCACAGGGTAGACAGACTGATTTTTTAAATTAAATCGGGACTACATTTCAAGAGGGTGGGCTTCAAGGTCTAAGTGACCA